CATCAGTGTCTTCCCCACCTGCAGCAATTGTCTGGGCAAAGGTCCTCCCCAGGTAGTAAGCCTTACAAGTTGCTATAACTCCTTGACCCATTGGTTGGATCAAAGAGGTGGTGTTGGGGGGGAGACACTTTGATATTGGGATGAAGATCACCAATAAAAGGAGGATGTCCAGGAGCATTATCAACAATAAGTGAAATCTTGAAAGGCATGTTATTCTCCAAACACTACTTCATTTCTCTGGCATAGCAATTCTCGGAGGGCATCTTGGAAGAGGACCTGGGTCACCCATGACCTCTTCCTGCTCCCGATGTACCCTGGCAGTGTGTGCTTATTGGTATGCTGAAGGCCCCATGGTTCTCACTGTGCCATAGCACAAAGGGTTTCAGTTTGTAGTCTATAGCATTGTCCCCAAGGAAGACTATTATCGTGTTCTTGAAAGCCTTGAAACTTGGCATTGACTTGGCCTTCTTATAGATAAAAGTGCTTTCAGGTATCCGTTTCCAGAATAGGGAGGTTTCATCCATATTGAGTATTTGTTCTGGCAAGTAATTTTCTTCCACAGTCAGCTTGTCTAGATTTCCAAAAATTCTTCAGGTGCCTTCACATCAGCACTCAAGACTCACCACTCACTTTCACATTATGCAACAAATAACAATTCTTGAATGGTTTATACCACCCAGAGCTAGCTCTAAATTCAACATTATAGTCGGGTCCAGCCTTTTCTTATATCACAAACAAACTTTTTGCTTTGGCCATGATTGTCATGATTCTAAGAGGAGGATACCCTTCTGTGTCTGGTCTTCAATCCAGGTCATTAGATGTTTCTCCATGTCTGATATAGGCACTTCTCAAATTTTTGTTAGTCTCGTTGCCTTCAGTGAAGCCAACCCATTAGGAGCTTCTGTCACCTTGTTCTTGCTCTTCAAGATTGTAGTTATGGTGGACTGACACATGCCTGACTGGCGAGCAATAACCATCACTGATTTTCCACCTTAGTAGGCTTAAACCACTCTTAATTTTGTTTCAGGTCAGTCACTTGACATGGTCTCCTACTGACAACATTAGTGGTGGAGGGCTGGCCAAGTGGTGCGTTGGTTAGGAGTGGCTTGGGACACCAGCTCTGAGCAGCAGGGCCCTGGTTCGGATCCCACATGAGGACCAGTGACACTGCCCTCTACAGCTAAGATGGTGAACAACAACTTGACCTGGAGCTGGGCTGCGTTGAGTCTCCAGCGACGGCGTAGGCTGCAGTGGGGCTGGCCGGCAGAGGGCGTGAGCTTTCGTGAGCTGCCGTCCAATGGCCAGTGAGCGACTGCCTCACCCGGGAANAGAATATCAGCAGGAAAACAGAGGGAGAATGGAGAAAAGGCAAGAGGCAATGGATGAGAATTTCCAGGATTGATGAAAGATGGTAATCTCAATCAAGTTAAACAAAAAAGAAGTCTCTACCTAGATCACTACTGTGAAACAACAGAACACCAAAGGCAAAGAGCAGATCTTAAAAACAATCATAGAAAACAATTTACCCATAAAGAAATTAAAATTAGACTGATAGCTGACTTTTCAATATCAACAATAAATGCTAAAAAGACTAGAATAATGTCTTCAATGTGCTGGGAGAAAACTTTCAACATAGCATTGGAGCCCAGAGAAAATATCTTTCAAGATTGAGAGATATATAAAGACATACCCAGAAAAGCAACAGTGTAGAGAATTTGTCCCTAAAAACTCTCAGTAAAGATATCAGAAGAATGTTCTTCAGGTTGAAAGAAAGTCATCCCAGATGGAATTTCTGAGATACGAGAAGGAAAGATGAGGAAAAAAGTGGCAAATTGGTGGATCAATCCAAGGATTCACTGGCTGTATAAAATAATAACTATATTTTTGTGGGGTTAAAACACCGGACAACAATAATATACAAGTATAAATTGGAAATGGGAGTCTTTGATGATGACCTTTCTTCCTATTTCACTTAGAAAATGAGAATTATCAAAAGATAACTGCCCACCACTATATCTATGCATGTACTGTATCTGCGCCCATATACTTTTTCCCAGTTGACTCTAAAGTTAAACTACTCATGCTCCTTTCTAAAGCCAATTCTTTCACTTGTGCTCTAGATCCCAATACCTCTGGCCTACTCATAGAAAAATTGCAACAATTCTTCCCTCTCTGTTTACATTATCACTATTCCCCTCTCTTCTAGAACATTCCCATCAGCAATAAAACATTTTTTAAAAATTATATCATTGAAAATAATCTTCCTTTAAACATACTTTCTCTTTCAGATGCTACCCTATTTCTCTGCTTTCCTTTGCAGCAAAACAAGACTTTGGAAACGTTGTTCTCTGCTCTGTTTCAATTTTATCAAAATAAACTCAAACAAAGTAAAAAAAATCCAAAACACGGAACTAATAAAGACAAAAGCTGAACTTAGTAAAATAGAAAACAAACAGTAGAAAGGACTCACAAAACAATTCCCAGTACAAATAGGCCCTTGGTGAACATTCATAAATTGAGTGTTAAATAATTAAGCAGACAGGATACTTCTAAAACCTAAACTTTATAAAGGATATTACCTGTTCTTCCTTTTGTTGAAGATGAATTTTTTAAGTCTCCACTAATACTGGTAACTGTAGCTATGTATTTTCGTCCAGGCACGAGGTCAGTAAAAGTGAATTCTTTGGCATCTTTGGGGAGTGACTTGTGGATGAGCAAGAGGTCTCTGTCGGCTAGTGAAATGATATATTTCTCCCATTCTGCAACAGGGGTCTGCCACATGATGCCTAGGGAGGTTTCATTGGCATGTTTGACACGAAGCTGAAGGACAGCCAGGGGGACTGAGGAAAGAACAATAGAGATGTGGGTCACTGGCTGACTCAGAAACACTTGAGTATTCTTTATTTTTTTATTGGGTAACTGTTTTTTCCAGAACCCATCAGCTCCAAGTCAAGTCACTGTCCTTCAATCTAGTTGTGGAGGGTGCAGCACAGCTCTAAGTCCAGTCGCCATTTTCACTCTAGTTGCAGGGGGTGCAGACCACATTCCCATGTGGGAATCGAACCGGCAAACTTGTTGTTCAGCACATGCGCTCTAACCAACTGAGCCATCCATCCGCCCCTCGAGTATTCTTTAGAGAGCTATTCTCTTCCATCCACAGCAGTGTTCTAGCTCAGCATTTCTTTTCTGAATGCTTATGAGCATTAAGAAAAAAAGCTAATCACAAAATACTTTTAAAGTATAACATAGCCAGAAATAAGGAATCAAAAGAATACTACTGGAAAATACTTTACCGGGTCTTTTATTTTTGACCACATATTACTTTGAGTGCTTATCTCTACATATGGATTCCATGATACAAAAATATTTAATTCAATCTTGTCATCCACAAAACCACAGAGAAAGTTTCATGTTTGAGTATTTAGGGGGAATTAGGAGTATGTGTTGCCCTGATAGCTTGGAAAAAACAAGTGCTTCTTCCTTTCATTTCTGGGGAAGAGACACTGATGTGTCTGAGAAATGAAGAGTAAATAATAGTGTAGCTGGTAAGTAATAATAGTATCTGATTAAAGAATCCCATTATCAAAAGAACTGAAATTGCTTCCATTTCTTTAAAGGGTTTTATTATTACAATTTCTAGGAGACATTGTTGAGAGCAAAGTGTTAATCCCACAAAACAAGAGAGATAAAATTGTGGAAGAATCAAGTATGTAAAATTATACTGTGATTTTTGCATCAAAGAAATTTTCTGTGATCTATGACAATACTGCCTTCTTCCAGAACACCTTTTGAAGGACCTGCCTGAGGCTCTTTTTGAAGACGTATCCCTCCTTCCAGAAATATGTACATGGTGGTTTGCTATTTTTTGTTTATTTTTTTCCATCACAGATTTGCTTATAAACAGAGAATATACCATAAACATTCCTCTCTATTAAAGAAAACCATTCAATGTTGGGGTTCATGGTTCCAAACTTTTTAAGAAGCTTGTTGAGGTCTGCAAAAGCTTCTGCTAAGCCCTTCACTGTGAATTTTCTTGGGGGTTCTTATTCTTTTTCTTCTCCTGCAGTTTCCTTTTCTCTGGCCTCTTCTTCATCTATGCCAGCGGTTCTCAACCTGTGGGTCGCGACCCCTCTGGGGGTCGAACGACCCTTTCACAGGGGTCACCTAAGACCATCGGAAAACAAAAAGATACTTACATTACGATTCATAACAGTAGCAAAATTACAGTTATA